TACTACTGCATTTTAGATGGATATTCAGGCTTCTTTCAGATCCCCATCCATCCAAATGATCAGGAGAAGACCACCTTTACCTTTCTTTATGGCAGATTTGCATATCGCAGAATGCTATTCGGATTGTGTAATGCTCCTGTGACATTCCAGAGGTGTATGATGTTGATTTTCACAGAATTGATTGAGAAGTTTATGGAGGTCTTTATGGATGACTTCCTAGTCTATGGGTCTTCCTTCAAAGGTTATTTGGAAAACTTGTGTTCGGTTCTGCAGAGATGTGAAGAGAAGCATTTGGTACTGAATTTGGAGAAGTGCCATTTTATTGTACAAGATGGCATTGTTCTTGGTCACATAGTCTCTGGTGATGGCATAGAAGTGGACAGGGCAAAAATTGAAGTAATGACAAGCTTGCAGGCGCCTGATTCTGTCAAAGCAGTGAGAAGTTTTCTGGGTCATGCTGAGTTCTATAGAAAATTCTGGGTCATGCTGGATTCTACAGAAGACTCATCAAGGATTTCAGCAAGATTACAAGACCTCTTACTGCTCTTCTCTGCAAGGATGTGAAGTTTGAATTCTCTGCAGAATGTCAATCAGCTTTTGAGCAGATCGAACAGGCCTTGGTGACAGCTCCTACTGTGCAACCTCCATACTGGGATTTTCCTTTTGAAGTGATGTGTGATGCCAGTGATTTTGCAGTTGGAGCAGTGCTGGGACATAGAAAAGACAAGAAGCTACACGCCATCTACTATGCCAGCAGGATATTGGATGAAGCTCAGAAGAACTATGCTACTACTGAGAAGGAACTGTTGGCAGTGGCTCTTGCCTTTGAGAAGTTTCGCCAGTACCTTGTTGTCTCCAAGGTCGTGGTCCATACAGACCATTCAGCACTGAAGTACTTGATGTAGAAGAAGGATGCAAAGCCAAGGTTGTTTAGATGGATTTTGCTTCTTCAAGAGTTTGATATTGAAGTTAACGCAAGAAAGGAGTTGAGAATGGAGTTGCTGATCATCTCTCCAGAATTCGGATTGAAGATGATGTCCCAATCTTTGATTTCTTGCCTGAGGAGAATGTATACTTGATAGAAACTCGGTTTCAGAAAGAAAGTATTGAAAACCTGCAACTTTCTCGCAACTACAGGACAGTGACGAGCGACACCAGGAGGGTGACTGTAACACCCCTGGTTTGATCTAGACATAGATAAACCGAAAGTGCCACAATATGATCGCCGAGAGCATTATGGTCCTAGTACTAAGAACGAATCAAAGACTAAATCCTAAATTCTTTCAGCAATTGAACCTCTACACCTAAAGGCTTTTCAGTCTGTACCAAGGTTTCGAGTGGTGTTAGCTTGGACTAGCTAATATCATTTAACACAAGCCATTTTCACAAAACATATTCTATATATTATACCATTCCAAAATAAGGATTCTTACAAACATAGTATAAGTTTCGGCCAAGGCCTAGTGCCAAAATATTATACATATATTATACAACCAACCGGTTTTATAAAAGCCAACGCTAATCTACTCCGGTTTCGTTCAGTACTCCTCTTACTGTTCTCCTAGAGATTTCCTGAAATAAAAAGGTGGGGTATGAGCAATCTAAGATTACCCAGTGAGTCCAGGACCCTCTATACAACAAGTAATTCTCCAACACAAAACCCTAAAATAAACAATGCAATGCATGCTTACACCATGCAACAATATAAAAGCAATAACAAAAGCGGAAACTCAATCAAGGGTGGCATGTCCATAGTAACCTCACTGTTACTATGCATGCCGAGGTTATAGCAACCTAGTTACTAAGCCTAAAACATAAACATGATCCTAGCCCACTGGCTATGCATGTCTATACTAGGCCTCAATCATGACCTTCGCCCACTGGTTATGCATGAGAGGCACACACTACAATAGGCATCAATCATCACCATAGCTCTACTGGCTATGCATGAGAGGCACACACTACACTAGGCCTCAATCATGACCATAGCTCTACTGGCTATGTATGAGAGGCACAAGACGGGTAACAAGGCCTCTACGGTGTATCGGTTCACAGATCCCTCCACTTGAACACCCCTGCCTACTTACCACGAAGGACCATAGACTGGAACATCAACTGACAAGTCCTTGCCTCGACAGTAGGCCCGCATGTCCTTCGTGACAATCGGTCATGAATCGTCATGCATTACTCGGCCATGGGAGCTACCTAAGTAACTCTTAGTCTTCCTCCCGTCATGAACCGAGGGTTTCTTATCCAATCAGTTTGGGAAGCGGGACTGCCGATACACCCCCTAACCACATGTGAATGATCACACCGGATGGATCCACAACATTATGAGATCATGTGAATGATCACACCACATGATCCATTCGAAGCATATGGGCTTTCACGAACCATCATGCCTTCACTACATGCACCAACATGTAGTACAACAATTTCTGCGGCATAACTCTTCATAGTTAATTGCGGCATACTTATCACAACCCTTTTTGTGGCATAACTCTTCCTAGTTAATGCGGCATACTTATCACAACAATTTCTGCGGTATAACTCTTCATAGTTGATGCGGCATACTTATCACAATAATTTCTGCAGCATAACTCTACACAAAACTCACTTTTTGTGAAAGTTAATACGACATACTTATCCATTATTTCTGCAGCATAATTCTTCACAAAACTCCTCTTTTGTGAAAGTTAATACAGCATACCAAATAAAATTTCTGCACCATAACTCTTCACAAAACTCTCTTGTTTGTGAAAGTTACAAAGCAGAACCTCTATCGAACAACAATAACTTAAGATGAACACACATATTGTTTCAGTCTTAAGTTACAACCTGCATAAGAATCCATTAGTATGAATCTATACTACCGGGACTCACCTTTGACTCTCCTAGCTTAGTTGGATCCTTCCTCTCTAGATCGCCTAAGCTTTAATCTTCTCTTAGCATACTAGCTCTTCACTACTCTCTCTCTCTCTCTCTCTAGAATTTTTGTTTTACCTTTGTTGTGGCTGAGAATGGTTTGAAAGAATGGCCTCAGGGGGTATTTATAGGGGAATGATGGCCTGTGACGTTGGTAGCTCATGCAATGGCTACGTGACACTCATTCATTACTATCTACTAACCCATGAAGACGAAACAGCAGTCCATGCTTATCCTTGAACCGAAGGAGATGAAACAGCCGTCCAAGCTTATCTCTTCATCCATAAGGACATAATAGGAGTCCATTCTCATCTCCTTATCCACAAGAAACGAAATAGGAGTCCATGCCCATCACTTTATCCTTGAACACGAAATAAGAGCCCATGCCCATCTCTTAATCCTTAAAGACGAAATAGTTTCTAACCAGTTTTATGCTTATCTCCTCACATTTAAGGACGAAATACCTTGACCAAATCCGTCCTCATCCATGAATCCATCAAGACAAAATAGCTCTTGACAAGATTCATGCACATCCCATAATCTGTAAAGAAGAAATAGTTCCTTACCAGATTCATACTTATCGATAAAATCTATAAAGAGGAAATAGCACTTCAACACTATAAATGCTTATCCGTGAATCAATAAGGACAGAATAGCTAAAGGACACTTCATGCATAACTAGGTCATTGACTGACCTACTTATGTTTGCAACCGGCCTTCATACGACACCTCCTGCTGCGATTATAAGCTGGTCAAGCAGCCCCTTCTGTGTCGCCATCTGATTGGTCAAATTTGGACTTCGACTATTTCTTCTTCTAACTTTATTTTCTTGACCAATAAATGTCTCTCATTCACGTGCCACTGATTGAATGAAGCTTAGTCCACTTGTTTATCTTTTATCCGAGCCTTTCGTACTTCGAATGACCATTTTGCTTCTTCTTCGAACGCTTGTAGATTTTCTTGATAATTCTTCAGACTTCTTTTGACCAATCACTTAGATTTATTATTCTAAGTGTGTCAACTCTTCATCTGCTGAGATATTATGCCTTGACCAAACGATCTAAGCAATATCTTATTATGGCTGAGATGTCAGTCAGGTCCGATATGACCATCTAGTCACTCTCTCGGGTAACTCTTCATCCACTCGATCTTTTTCAGATTTTCTTTGAGCATTCTTCATACTTTGGCACCATTGGTCAATCCAAATCAACTCCTCCTTTAAGTTGGAACTTCGACTTTTGGTTTGTCCTCTCTCGGCCATCTCTATGTCTGCAATGGTCTTCTCTTGGCCATCTTAGGTTGCATTCAAGCTTTTCTTCTTAAGCTTCGGCCAAAGGGTTAATTTTGACCTAGGCTATCGATCCAAGTCATCCTTGAGTCGATTCCATGATTTTGGTTTTTCGGCCAAAATTTCCTCTCCTGGCTGCTCCGTTCGGCCGTTCTCTGCTCTCATCCAGGTCATTACATTCTCCTTCACTTTATAGAATTCATCCTGAATTCTAAAGTCTAGAATGTGACTCCATCTTCCTCTGCTTGTTATGCCATTTAGTCCTTCATGGCTAATTGGTCGATTCACCGCTGCTACCACCCTCCATTATTATTCTGCTACTTCCATATCACAATTTCATAGTATCATTTTCCACAATTCTACTAACGTTGGATGTCTTCCACTCCACTAGGCGTTACCACACCATCTTCGTCGTTGAAGATTCGTCTTCAGACTCCATTTTAGTACCACTATGCTCTCACTGCACTAATACCACCATTTTCTACATGTACATGACACCATTTCTCGCCGCTGGTCTCAACACTCTTGTGTGATCTCTTGTGTGATCTCATCATTTAGTCTACCACGCCTTGGTTTAGAGTATGACATATTCTTTCACATCTTCACGCTTGAGTTTAGAGCAAGGTACGATCTTTATTTTGACCTTCTCTACCCACTCAACCCTTGCCGTAGTGATAACTTCCCCTGAGTTATACACCGGTCTTCACGTCCGGTATAGTCTAAGTGATAGTTCCTCCCGAGCTATGCACTTTTCTTGACTCTTCAGCACAGCCTAAGTGATAGTTTCTCATAAACCATACACTTCTTTGGGCTTCACTCTACACACGTTATCCTCGGCCATATAGTCCCACCATATGTCACTACCGCTGATCTTCACCTCGGATGTCCACTTGCTCCATACATCTTCATACCCCTCTTCGCCCGATCCATCTTCTTCTAATTCTCGCCAAAGATAAATGACCTAAACCAACACTCCTAATCCTGGTTGGTAACATGGTTTCGGGTATTATGGCAAGATCTCCCTAGACCTCCATGATCGACCCCAACCACACCACAAAAACACCACTAGGAACTCATCACTCACCAAATGGTTCGTTATTTCCTTTAACCAAGGGTTCTTAACAACAAATCCTATTCACCACACTCGTATAATATCTATCATACCTAGCAACCTATGCTAAGATAATAATATACTAACCTCTATAATACCATACGTATTCTCAATACGTAAAATCAACAACCAATGACTAAACTACCAATCATGCAATAAATTAAACATGCAATAGGGGGTTAGCGCCCAAAAAACCTATAATGGGACCCTTAGCTGGTCCTGTCGGGTTCGAGGTTTCTGCCTCCAAAGCATAAACTCTACCAGAAGTTGCTTGACGTTTGGCCGTGGGTTCTTTCGTTGGTCGAGTCGACGCATCTTACCTTCCATAATCTCTGAATTCATTTTCTGTCCGTAAGGGACACCAGATAGCATAATGCCCTGGTTCTCCACAAGTAAAACATTTGACATTAGCTGAGACTTCTGGAATTACTTACTGCGACAGTTTCGACCAAGGTGTCCTGGCTCTCTGCACACAAAACATGTTCCATCAAACCTCCCTGATCCTTGATCACCCCTATCCCGGTTTCTACCACGGTTAGTAGATTGAGTAGACTTTGCTGTTTGGTTTGGATGGGAACCACCATTCCCCTTGTTTTTCTTCGAAGCAGCTTCCTCATTGGTTAAGTATGCCTCTACATTGACTGCTCTCTCTATTGCTTCATGCGGACTAGTAAAGGTTACCGATTGTAATCGGCTTCCTATCTCTGGTCTTAATCCTTGCATGAACTGCCTTACTAAGGCATCGTCATCCACGTTACAAAAGTGGCCTATCTTTGTAGCCTCATATTCTCCGCCTCATATTCTCTCACACTCTTTTCTCCTTGATCTAATCTCAAAAATTCCTGAGTTAAGTGATCTTGTGCTTCAGCTGGAAGATATTTCCGTTCAAACTCCTTTTTAACCTCTCCCAAGTGTTCATACTATACCCAGTCTGACGATCTATACTGGTCCACCAACTTGAAGCTTCATTCTCCAAATTGTATACACCAACATCCTTTCCGAATTCCATTGGACATCTAGTTGCTGCAAAGTTCGCTTCAACACACTGTAGCCATGCATCCGCCTTGTACGGATCTGGTTTTCCATTAAATCGGTAAGTACCCAAAGTCTTCACGGTTGGTACAATCTTGAGGAAGTCTGGTGACGGGCTTGCATTTGCATCTGCGCCGGGAATGGCTTGCTGCAGAACTTGAGATAGAAGACTGTGAACCATTGACAAAGTCGGATCAACCTGTTGTTGTCCCTCGTGACCGGGTGGTTCCATAGTATTGCCATTTCTGGCAGGTTGGTCCATAGGTCCTGGCCGTCCAACAAGTGGAATCTGAGATTCCGGGGAGTCAGAACTTGACCCATGAGAGAAGGTGGAGGATGAATATGGGCTCAAGAGATTGTCCTGTATCCCAAAAAACTCATAGCTTTTGTAGTCGGTATCACTAGCCGATTCAGGCATATGTCCCATCATGGACGTATCTTATGATTCTCCATCATCCATTTGCTCTGACATGCTCCGACCCAACGATGAACCTCTCAGTCGCTCACCACACAACCTATGATTCGACATATGCATCAAATAATAGTTAAAACTCAACAACAATCCTAAAATGCACGAAACGTACCGGATCATCCTAGGTAGCTTTTGCGATTCTTTTTCACTCGATTAAACATTGAAGGCTTGTTCTGTGAGCATGATCATAAACCATGCTCTGATACCACCATTTGTAACACCCTTAGTTTGATCTAGACATAGATAAACCGAAAGAACCACAATATGATCGCCGAGAGGATTCATATCCTAGTACTAAGAATGAATTAAAGACTAAATCCTAAATACTTTCAGCAATCGAACCTCTAAACCTTCGGCCTAAGGCTCTTTAACTCGTACTACAGTATTGAGTTGTGTTAGCTTAGACTAGCTAATATCATTTAACACAAGCCATTTTTACAAAACATATTCTATATATTATACCATTCCAAAATAAGGATTCTTACAAATATAGTATAAGTTTCAGCCAACGCCTAGAGCCAACATATTATACATATATTATACAACCAACCGGTTTTACAAAAGCCAACGCCAATCTACTCCGGTTTCGTTCTGTACGCCTCTTACTGTTCTCCTAGAGATTTCCTGAAACAAATAGGTGAGACATGAGCAATCTAAGATTACCCAGTGAGTCCAGGACCCTCTATACAACAGTTAATTCCCCAACCCAAAACCCCAAAATAAACAATGCAATGCATGCTTACACTATGCAACAATATCAAAGCAATAACATAAGCGAACACTCAATCAAGGGTTGCATGTCCATAGTAACCTCACTGTTACTATGCATGCCGAGGCTATATCAACCCAGTTACTAAGCATAAACCACAAACATGACCCTAGCCCACTGGCTATGCATGTCTACACTAGGTCTCAATCATGACCTTAGCCCACTGGCTATACATGAGAGGCACACACTACACTAGACCTCAATCATGACCATAGCTCTACTGGCTATGCATGAAAGGCACACACTACACTAGGCATCAATCATGACCATAGCTATACTGGTTTTGCATGAGAGGCACAAGATGGGTAACGAGGCCTCTACAGTGTATCGGTTCACAGATCCCTCCACTTGAACACCCATGCCTAATTACCACGAAGGACCATAGACCGGAACATCAATCCGACATGTCCTTGCCTCGACAGTCGGCCCGTATTGTCCTTTGTGATAATCGGTCATGCATCGTCATGCATTACTTGGCCATGGGCGCTATCCAAGTCACTCCGAGTCTTCCTCCCATCATGAACCGAGGGTTTCTCGTATCCAATCAGTTTGGGAAGCGGGACTGCTGATACACCCCCTAACCACATGTGAATGATCACACTAGATGGATTCACAACACTACAAGATCATGTGAATGATCACACCATATGATCCGCTCCAAGCATATGGGCTTTCACGCCCCATCATGCCTTCACTACATGCACCAACATGTAGTACAACAATTTCTGCGGCATAACTCTTCATAGTTAATTGCGGCATACTTATCACAACCCTTTTTGTGGCATAACTCTTCCTAGTTAATGCGGCATACTTATCACAACAATTTCTGCGGTATAACTCTTCATAGTTGATGCGGCATACTTATCACAACAATTTCTGCAGCATAACTCTACAAAAAACTCACTTTTTGTGAAAGTTAATACGACATACTTATCCATTATTTCTGCAGCATAATTCTTCACAAAACTCCTCTTTTGTGAAAGTTAATACAGCATACCAAATAAAATTTCTGCACCATAACTCTTCACAAAACTCTCTTGTTTGTGAAAGTTACAAAGCAGAACCTCTATCGAACAACAATAACTTAAGATGAACACACATATTGTTTCAGTCTTAAGTTACAACCTGCATAAGAATCCATTAGTATGAATCTATACTACCGGGACTCACCTTTGACTCTCCTAGCTTAGTTGGATCCTTCCTCTCTAGATTGCCTAAGCTTTACTCTTCTCTTAGCATACTAGCTCTTCACTACTCTCCCTCTCTCTCTCTCTAGAATTTTTGTTTTACCTTTGTTGTGGCTGAGAATGGTTTGAAAGAATGGCCTCAGGGGGTATTTATAGGGGAATGATGGCCTGTGACGTTGGTAGCTCATGCAATGGCTACGTGACACTCATTCATTACTATCTACTAACCCATGAAGACGAAACAGCAGTCCATGCTTATCCTTGAACCGAAGGAGACGAAACAGCCGTCCAAGCTTATCTCTTCATCCATAAGGACATAATAGGAGTCCATTCTCATCTCCTTATCCACAAGAAACGAAATAGGAGTCCATGCCCATCACTTTATCCTTGAAGACGAAATAAGAGCCCATGCCCATCTCTTAATCCTTAAAGACGAAATAGTTTCTAACCAGTTTTATGCTTATCTCCTCACATTTAAGGACGAAATACCTTGACCAAATCCGTCCTCATCCATGAATCCATCAAGACAAAATAGCTCTTGACAAGATTCATGCACATCCCATAATCTGTAAAGACGAAATAGTTCCTTACCAGATTCATACTTATCGATAAAATCTATAAAGAGGAAATAGCACTTCAACACGATAAATGCTTATCCGTGAATCAATAAGGACAGAATAGCTAAAGGACACTTCATGCATAACTAGGTCATTGACTGACCTACTTATGTTTGCAACCGGCCTTCATACGACACCTCCTGCTGCGATTATAAGCTGGTCAAGCAGCCCTTTCTGTGTCGCCATCTGATTGGTCGAATTTGGACTTCGACTATTTCTTCTTCTAACTTCATTTTCTTGACCAATAAATGTCTCTCATTCACGTGCCACTGATTGAATGAAGCTTAGTCTACTTGTTTATCTTTTATCCGAGCCTTTCGTACTTCGAATGACCATTTTGCTTCTTCTTCGAACGCTTGTAGATTTTCTTGATAATTCTTCAGACTTCTTTTGACCAATCACTTAGATTTATTATTCTAAGTGTGTCAACTCTTTATCTGCTGAGATATTATGCCTTGACCAAACGATCTAAGCAATATCTTATTATGGCTGAGATGTCAGTTAGGTCCGATATGACCATCTAGTCACTCTCTCGGGTAACTCTTCATCCACTCGATCTTTTTCAGATTTTCTTTGAGCATTCTTCATACTTTGGCACCATTGATCAATCCAAATCAACTCCTCCTTGAAGTTGGAACTTCGACTTTTGGTTTGTCCTCTCTCGGCCATCTCTATGTCCGCAATGGTCTTCTCTTGGCCATCTTAGGTTGCATTCAAGCTTTTATTCTTAAGCTTCGGCCAAAGGGTTAATTTTGACCTAGGCTATCGATCCAAGTCGTCCTTGAGTCAATTCCATGATTTTGGTTTTTTCGACCAAAATTTCCTCCCCTGGCCGCTCCGCTTGGCCGTTCTCTGATCTCATCCAGGTTATTACAGTGACGCTTCTCACCAACTCAGCAGACTCGCGATCAAGTCGAGATACGACTTCAGTGACGATCGCCACCCACTGTGGTGACGCTTGTCATCCATCCGAGCTATTGACAATGATTTGTGCAAGCTTGGGGACTGCTTTTCAAGAGCAAGTCGATGCTGTGAATGATCCCAAGAGGTCCTGGTATGCTGATATTGCCAACTACTTAGCTGCAGAGGATGAACCACATGATTTCAAGGGACATGCTAAGAAGGACTTCTTGATAGAACTTAGGAGATTCTACTGGGATGAGCCATATCTTTACAGACATTGTGCAGAAGGGATTTACAGGAGATGCATAGCAGAAACTAAAGTTCTAGACGTTCTGTTTCACTGTCATGGCTCTGAATATGCAGGACACTTCGCCACTTTCATAACAGTCTCCAAAGTTCTTCAAGCAGGTTTCTGGTGGCCTACTATGTTCCAGGATGCACATGCATTTATTACACGCTGAGATACATGTCAAAGGAGAGGAAAGATTAGCAGAAGACATGAGATGCCACAAAACTTCATTCTTGAGGTTGAAGTATTTGACTGTTGGGGCATTGACTTCATGGGTCCTTTTCATTCTTCTTATGGGAAAGATACATCCTAGTTGCTGTTGACTATGTATCCAAGTGGGTACAGGCGTTGGCTACTCCTACTAATGATGATGTAGTGGTTTTTAAGCTGTTTAAAACCATTATTTTCCCCAGACATGGTGTCCTGCGAATTGTTATCAGTGATGGTGGCTCTCACTTTGTTAACAAGGTCTTTCACAAGCTGCTGAAGACGTATGGTGTTCAGCATAGAGTGGCCACGCCATATCATCCCCAGACCAGTGGACAAGTTGAAGTTTCCAACAGACAGATCAAGCAGATTCTGGACAAGACTGTAGGGAAGACACAGAAGGATTGGTCAGTGAAATTGGATGATGCGTTGTGGGCTTACAGGACTGCCTACAAAACGCCACTTGGGACTACACCATTCCATCTGCTCTATGGCAAGGTATGCCATCTTCCAGTAGAGTTGGAGTACAAAGCAGAATGAGATATAAAGAAGCTAAACTTCGATTTGAAGCCTGCTGTAGAAAGGCGCTTGATTCAGCTCAATGAACTAGATGAAATCAGACATATGACCTATGAAAACTCCAAGTTATACAAGGAGAGGACAAAGGCATATAATGATAAAAAGATCATCTCCAGACATTTTGAGCCCAATGACCATGTACTTCTCTATAACTCTCGTTTGCAGTTGTTTCCTCGTAAACTGTAATCTCGTCGGCCAGGCCCCTTCACTAAGAGGCTAGACCACATGGCACCACTGTCCTGATCAACTCCAAAGGAGAGGAGTTCACTGTCAATGGACAGAGGGTGAAACATTATTGGGCGCAAGCCGGTATTCCAGCAGGACATATTGTGTGTCTAGATGATGCACCAGCTGTCTAAACAGCATTCCAAGTCGAGCTAAAGACTTAAAACAAGCGCTTGGTGGGA